TTGTGAGCAGTTGGCTTCCTTACAACATCCCCCAGCATTCGAAATGAACTGAAAATGAATCATTGAGATGGATCAGCATTGTTCAGAAAAGTCTGAAATAATGGGAGCAAGCAAGGGTAGAAAAAGGGCTCAGAGGCTGAAAGCTGGGCTGTGGGCACCAAACAAAGCAACGAATACAAGGGAGGTTATGTTTGCATCGTCCAGAATACACAGCTAAGGACCGTAGAAAACACTCAATAGCACAGCCCAACACTGTACTTTCCATCAAGCAAACATCATAGAATACAACAATACAAGACAATTGTTCTCACTCTTTGGACTACTTCCAAGTACATAAAAGCAACGCTCAAAACTGTTTAAATCAATTGATGCAGAAGTCATCTGGCCCCATCTGTTCTGCATTAGTGGTAATTGCTGCATCCACAGACCTCATTAGTATCTAGGACTAACAGCGCCCCTCGGTGTATCCTGAGCCGTCTATACACGCACTTGTACGTTTACATGGGGCCATCTCACCGAGAACCGCTCATCAGAATGACCCAGCTACAAGGGAACCTCTTACAGAAGACATTGCATACATTTATTCCAAAATAACTAATCACAGCAATGTCATAACAAATACCAAAACAGGAGCCAGATGACTGGCTGATTTGTAATACAATACTTTCCTGTGAAGACTGATCACTGTAGATGAGTAGCACACTACATGAATTATAATGCTGAAACCTGCAGCACAGCATGGTGTGCGCCCTAATGCTGACCTACTGCTAAAGCTGGCTATACACTAGTAGAACTGGCTACACACTAGTAGGATTGGCTACACACTGGTAGGACTGGCTGCACACTGGTAGGACTGGCTGCACACTGGTAGGACTGGCTGCACACTGGTACGACTGGCTACACACTGGTAGGACTGGCTACACACTGGTAGAACTGGCTACACAGTAGTAGGATTGGCTACACACTGGTAGAATTGGCTACACACTGGTAGAATTGGCTACACACTGGTAGAATTGGCTACACACTGGGTAGAATTGGCTACACACTAGCAGGATTGGCTACACACTAGCAGGATTGGCTACACACTAGTAGGATTTTGTTCAATATTTGTTGTAAGAACACTGTAAGAGCGTTCATTCAGTTTTCTAATCATTAGTGGGGTCAAAACAATCTCCGTTTTCGACTGCAGTGACAAGAAAATTCAAAGGAGCAGGATGGACATTTTTTCTCAAATGTACAAATTTCTAACATTGTAGGTGGTTTTCGGTCATAATGGATGGGTGGCATAATTACTAATCTATTGAAGCAGGAAAGGGATTGTGGTCACTTCTTCTCCAGAAGGAAGATGGTCGGGGTTGATTTGGCTGACCAGTAACACCAACAATCCTCTCTTCCCATTCTCTTTAATTAGAAAGAGGTTTGCAGAAGATTCTTCATGGACAACCTGCATTCATTCTTCTATACATCTCCCGCTTGGTCTATACATTTGGGAAGCACAGGGCACCATTTCTATTCTGGACATCTGCAGCTCCAAGAAAAACTTTCTTTGAGCATCTGTGTTAACTTTACTACAGAAAATGGACAATGGGAGGGATTTACTAAAACTGGGGCATACGGAATCTGGTGCAGCTGTGCATAGTAACCAATCAGCTTCCAGGTTTTATTGTCAAAGCTTAACTGAACAAGCTGAGGTTAGAAGCGGATTGGCTACCATGCACAGCTGCACCAGATTCTGTGTGTACCAGTTTTATTAAATAACACCCCCCCCCCCCCTAATTGTGCACTATTAATAATTTGCTGCTTATTGGCAGCTTTTTTTTGGGGTTAACATTTTATTACCGCTTTTAAAACAATACGAATACTACGCCATTACCAAAAGAAAAAATAGCTATAGCTTTGATGGGCTTCCTTCTTAAGCAATGGTTACACCGATGATGGGCATGCAGTGGGAGCAGCTTCACTTTTATTTTTTTTACATTAAAATGAATGATTATAAAGTCTTGATGTTAGATTTTTCACCAAAGCTTTGAGATAAGCTACAAAGGTTTTTTTTAAAGAAAATTCTATAGTCTCTTTATTAAGCATGTAAGTAATGGCAATCATCCATTTAATTTAAGTAATTCTATAATGTAGCACTACTATTTTAGACAAATCTTTCTATTAATAGTTTCCATTATATAGCACATGGGATCAGCCATTTTTTTTATTTACTGATTACACTTGCATGTTGAGCTTCCTGTACCGTTGTACCATGATTGTGCTTTAGTGGTTTCTTTCAGTGCATGTTTAAGAGTCGGCTGAAACTAATGGAAAATAATTTGACTAATGAATGTTATTTTAACAGTCACTCAGCAAAGGCGCAGATTGCAGAGTCTGACATACAGATAACCAGTAGAGGAAGTAGCAACAGCTCTATTCACAAAATACCGCCATCAAACATTTTAAGCATACAGTTTGCACTGAAAATACATACAGATGAACATACAGAAAATAAACTATTTAGTTTCCCTTTAGCTGCTTAGCAGCACGATATAAAAGCACATCTCCGGAGAAAGAACAAAATGCTCCCTTACTGTGGGGCTGCCTCACACTAAAAAGGTTAAATGCTTGTGAAGTCTAGGGGGCTGCACAAATCAATTTGACCTACCCGATCCTTCAGCAGCGAGCACTCTCTTTTACTCCCCTGTGCTCCGGCAGTGGACTCTCCCTCTGGGTTATCATTTCTAAGGCAGAGTTATGGGCTCTGCATTTGACTTGATGATGTCAGAGGACCTGCGACCACCGGGGCATAGGGGAGAAGAGAATGCGGAGACTGGTCTTACAGCCTGGTGGGAGCGGGGATCCGATACATATAACTGCTTTTTCACACCCCCTAGACCTAAATGAGCATTTAACCCTTTCAGTGTGGGCTCAGCCCCATTGCAAGGGAGGAGTTTTCCTTTCCCTGGAGTTCAGCTTTAACATTTTTGACAAATGTTTTTTCTATAAAATATTGGGCCCTATTTAAAAATGGAGAAAAGGAAACCAGACCTGTTAAGACTCCTTGTCAAATTTCCCTGTGAATGACCTAAAACCTACCTCACTCTAGGAAACAGTAGCGCAGTACATGAGCCCCCATATATCTAACTCATTATCCTGCACGATATAACATTTTTGTGCTTAATCACTATGCAAAGTGAAGCATCCAAATCCATCTGCACTGCAAGCCCTGTTTTGTTTAGCTAGAGGTCATCAGCTGAAATTTGATTGCTGTTGCACTCTTTTACCCATCATATAGATTCCGGCCTTCCACATGAACCTCTTTATAGGATATAGAACAATTCACTCTTAACTCTCCTCTAGATTTTTGATTTAAAAGATAACACCACTTTTTCTGACCATATTTCACCCATATTTAGGGCATAACAAAACAGCACCTCATCCCCAAACTGCTCCCCCATTGGAATCATAGGGCTTTGCCTGCAAAGCCACATAATTCATTTTCAGGATGCGTGAATTAAAAAACTACTTGCACCGAAGCAGAGGGACTTGTATTTCTCCATTAAGCCCAAAATTGTACATTTGTAGTCCACAGATACTTCCTCCAGCTCCATAGCTAAAGGTTCAGGGGCTGGAGGAAGAGTTTGTAGGAAACGGAACAACGCACCCAAGATCCAATGATCAAAGGTGCAATGCTTTGCAGGCTCCTATGCTAAAAAAATAAATAAATAAAAAATTATATATATATTTACATACATACACAGGTGTACCTTGGTTTATGAAAACCTCGGTTAACATAATTTTCGGTTTACGAATGAAAATTCATTGAAAATAATGGCTCAGTCTACAAATTTTTTTTCGCAATACGAACGGATTAATTGGTTTTCAATGCATTTACAAATTTATTTTTAATCATGTCCCTGTACAGTATTTATGCCTTTAAAGTGCACTTTATAAAGCGTTTTGAACAGAAGACTTTTTTTTTACTATTTTCTGACCTCCAGAACGGATTAATTGGTTTTCAATGCATTACGAATTAATTTTTAATCATGTCCCTGTACAGTATTTATGCCTTTAAAGTGCACTTTATAAAGAGTTTTGAAAAACAGATAAAGCAGATAAGACTTTTTTTTTTACTTTTTTCTGACCGAAGGAACGGATTCATTGGTTTTCAATGCATTCCTATGGGAAACCGCGTTTCGATTTACAACTTTTTTGCAATAACAAAAGTCCCGCAGAACAAATTAAATTCATAAACTGAGGTACGTGTGTGTGTGTTCATGCGTGCATGTGTGTGTGTATAGCGGCACAGTGGCTTAGTGGTTAGCACTTCTGCCTTGCAGGAATTGGGTCATGGGTTTGATTCCCAACCATGGCGCCTCCTGCATGGAGTTTGCATATTGTCCCTGTGTTCGCGTGGGTTTCCTCCGGGTACTCCGTTCTAATTTAGTTTCCCCCCCGCCCACTCCAAAGACATACCGGTAGGTTAATTGGCTCCTGTCTAAATTGTCCTAGTTTCATCCCTGGCCACGCGGGATTTCCTGCATGGTAGGGGGGTTGGGGAAAGACCTGGCAACCTACCCTGTAAAATAATTGCTAAGAGTATTCATGGAAAAAGTTGCTTACGAGTGACGGTCCATGCAATCGCCAAGGGTCGGATACAACTGAATGGATATATATATATATATATAAATAATATTTTTTTGTAAATGGCGCCATTCTCCTTTAAATCACCTGATAACAGACTTTCGGTAAGAGTTCAATGAGAAAACAAGTGTTCTCTTATGGAGGGGGTCTTGTTGGAAGGTACAGAAGTTTCCCCCATGTAATTCATCATATACATTTTTAGAGTCCTTTTCACAGAAGTTTTATGAAAGCTAAACGGTAATAATTGTTACCCTTTCAGAGGAAAGCAAGAATCTATTAAAATATAAAAAAAATTGCACCAAAATTTGCATAGGCATTTAAAAGAAGTTTCATGCAGATATGATGCCCTCACCTCCTGCGACTAATTTCACTGTCACTGGGGGGTGTTTCCACGGCTCCCAGCTGTGCCTCCTGGGTGGAGAAGCAGAGCGAATGGTGCTCTTAGAGCGGGTGATGTGAGGTGACACTTCGGTGATGTTGTCCATCTCCTCCCCTTCCATCTCTGATACTCCCGTGTTCTCACACTCCCTCTCCTCTACAAATGCAGTCACTGTGCTGCTACAGCTGCTGTCCATACTGTGCTTATCGCTGGGTTTCTTCATGCTTAATGTGCGGGGAATAGAAATGTCACTGCCATGGGAGGAGTTCCTTTCTAAAGAAGTATTATCATCTGAGCCCAAACTGGAGACATCACACAAAGACTGTTCTTCTTCAAGCTGAAATAAAAGCATAAACAGAAGTTTGTCAATGAACTTCTTAGTATAAGTTCTTGCAGATCACAAGATGACATTATCATATGCAATATGGTACAGTCAAATGAAACATATTACTTACAATATTAAAAAAAAAAAGTGAACCAACACTCTACCCAGCCCCCAGTCCACACGGTACCTACCCTCTGTGGGTGATGAGCTGTCAGTGGCCATGAAACTGATGCAGCAGTTCAAAGATTTGAAATCTCAGATCTCTGCAGCGCTTCAGGGATGAATCAAATTGAGGTGCCTACCCTCTGTGGGTGATGAGCTGTCAGTGGCCATGAAACTGATGCAGCAGTTCAAAGATTTGAAATCTCAGATCTCTGCAGCGCTTCAGGGATGAATCAAATTGAGGTGCCAGCAATGACCAATGAGAATCGCTCTGATCTGCCCTGAAAGTGCTGCAGAAAGCAGAGGGAGAAGAGCAGGGATTTCTCCCGTGTACAGCCAATTATGCCTAAGGGGAGCTGTACTTAACACCAGGGCTTTCCAAGCATGGAAAAAAGCCATCCCTAATGTCCCTGGGTGCATGAGGGATGTTGGCATGATGAAATCTCAAGTCATGCTATCATAGGTTATATTTGCCCTGTGTGCATGATACCTTAAAGAGTGACTCCAATTTTATTGAGAAAACAAAAACAAAAAGCAATCCCCTCTGGGTGATCAATGTACATTTCATGATTTTTAACAAACTTTGTTGCAGATTCCTATCTGCTGTTTGTTTCACCATGTCCTTTGTAGACTGATTCTGAATTGGAAGGACTGGTTCATTATAATGACCTGGAGCACTTGTGTGTGTTCCGATGAGAACTATAGGGTCTGCACCACACTTTAGAAGTATTTAACCTTTAAAGAATGCTTTGCTAAAAATAAAATTTCTAATGCAGTGGGTGAATAAAATTTGACTATCTGAGGATTCGTTCACACATGAGGTTGGGGGGGGGGGGCAGTAAAACCCTGAAGGTGAACAGGAGCTTTACTACCCCCCCAACCAACAGCTCCCTCTTTAGCTACAGAAGCAGCAGCCAGGAGAATACATATGCCACGGCCGTGATGTGGCAGGAATCATGACCCATTCAAGTGAATTAGGCTGCTCTGCATGCACCCCACAACCGCTATCTATGTTTTGGAGTGATAGTGCTGGGTCCAAGGGGGTTAAAGCAGGCAGTAAGGAGGCGATACAATTCCCTCTCACCTCCCTTAGGAGACCAAAGCAAATGTGAGGGAGGTCTTAGTGCAGACGACCTCTGGGAAAATCAGTGAGTCAATGACACAAGCCGGAAATGACATTTCTGGGAGTGTTCAGTATACCAACAACATACAGAACACCGCTAGGTAACTTTTAATAACATTAAATTACAACATGGCTTGTGCATTATTGTATAAGCTAGAATTAAAAAAACATTTTTTTGTAAAGTGGAGCTACCCTTTAAAAGCCTAACAGACTTTCTGCCCCTTTCCCACCATATTTTAAGGATACGTTCACCCTTTTAGGATGGAACATGTAATATGTTCCCACTCCTGCAGCCGCTCCCAGCACGCCCTGTGACAGCTGGCTAGGTCTTCTCCCTGTACCCACTGTCACTATTTGAAATGAGCGCAGCCATGCGGGGCTCCGCCCACATGGCCATGTCATTCATTCACAGAGTTCTGTGAATGGATGAACAACAAGTATTGACAGCCTTTGTGGCTGTTGGCTTGCAGTTCCCAATACACTGTCAGGGTGCTGTTGAGCGCTCTAGGTAGTCATTGTGTAACTGCATGTCTGTACAAGGTATGAGCACACAGCTTACACTGACAGTCTGCAGGAACCTGCAGTGCACCCCTGGTCTGCTGATTGCATGTGCAATGCTTTACAGGTTAATAAATGCACATCTTTTTGCAAGTAAAAAAAAAAACGTGCATTTATTTATTTATTTTAAAAGGTGAACTTATCTTTTAAAAACTAAAAAAAATAGACTTTTGGCTGGAGTTGAGCTTTAACTGACACCTTTATGGGGCTGCACAGAACATTTATACACCTTGGCCGAGAAGAGTCAACAATTTCTAGACAATCTCCATACTGTGTGCAATGGAAATTCAGCAATTAAACAGATCACATGAATGTCACATACTGTACCAAAATGTTGTGCAAATCTATGACAAAGTTGAATAGTGTTTTCTAGCGTGCCACTCAGTAGATGTTTGCCGTTATAGACTGTAACTGTACACTAACTAATGTGTACTTGTCAGCCACAGAGCCGTCTTTGTGGAAGAAGGGAAACAAAGGAAAAAAGTCTTCACACTGCTAATGAAATGAGGAGGACTGAAGGGAGCAGACAAGGAAATGATCTCACCATGCACTCATCCTCCTGTGAAACACTGTTGCAATCCCTGATACAATGGACAGACTCCTCCGGAGGAAATCAGTTATGCGCTGTAGTAGCAGCACTACCGTTTTATAAATAAACATATTATATTAAGGTCTTTATTAAAATATAACAGAGGCTACACTCAGCATAGAGAACAAGAAAGCAGTGTGGCCGACAATCCATGACTCCATCTGTGATTGGATGGGAGCTTTACAAATGTGAAAGTTGTCCACACAAACACCTGCAACGGTTGGTCCCGAAATACACAACAATGAACAAAGCGATGGGAATATTTTTTCGCATGCTAGTCTCATTTCAAAAATGAAGAGGTTACTAACGTTACGAAAATTCTCACACTACAGAACACAATTTCGGACATGTTGTATTGTACTGTAAGTATTCTTTCGTTTCTGAACCTGCGTAGTCTTGCTCTAGCGATTTTTTTTTTTCCGGACGAATACTGGACTGATTAAATGAAAATTGTACGATCTAGTATCATCTGAAAAAAAAAATGTGTGTTTATCCCGTCTAATAATTTAGGACAAAAGCTGTGTACCAACGATCAGATTGTCGTAGAGTCGCTTCCAAAAGTGGTATTTTTCATCAGATTTTCTGATCGCGTCAAAGGCTTTAGCTAGTCTAGTTTGTGTTTATTGAACAAGAAAACATAAGCGGCTTTCTTTGCATACCTGATCCCTGGTAACCGTTTTGTCTTCAGAAGTTAAGTGGAGTCAAACCCAAAACAAGAAAATGTATTATATTGCTTACCAATTCTTAGAAATGGAGGCTGCATTATTAGATTTAGGCTTTCTTCACCTGGTGATCCAGTGTTATTTTTCAGACCAAGCTGTCCAGCAAAATCGGCAGTTAGAGATGTGAGACAAACCATTTACCAACTGACAGGGGTGCTTAAAGCGGAGCTCCACCCAAAAGGAGAAGTTCCGCTTTAAGCCTTTGTCCCCCGCGCCCTATAAAGGATTGGCACCTTTGGGAAGCGGGTACCTGAATTTGACAGGTATGTGCTCCCACTTCCGCTGCGATCACCAAGGTGATCAGAAACGGAAGTTGTCCTCACCCCCTTACCTGACAGGTCCCAGAACACTATGGGGCCATTCACAAAGCGTAGCGCTTCACGCGCATGTGCAGTGGGCACCCGGCTGTGGAGCCGCAAGCTGTCACAGCTGTGTACCCACACTGAAGATTCCGGCGCCAGGGAGAGAAGACGGCTGGGTGAAACCAGCTGTGGTGAGGACACCCCTGGACCGAGGGACAGGAAAGTGTCTGTATTTTAAAAGTCAGCAGTTACAGTTTTTGTAGCTGCTGACTTTTATTTTTTCTTTTCAGGTGGAACTCCGCTTTGCTTTAAAATGATCAGCTTTTATTCATTTATCTAAATCCTTTATTCCAAAAGGAAAAAAAAAAAAAACACTGTTTGCTGTCACTGCTGTAAAGTGTTGGTTGGAGTTCAGCTTTACAGTGTTACTAAACCCACAACAGTAAAATCAGTCTGTATATGCAGTAAAGCATGCTTGTCATACACACTTTGGAACTCAAGGGGTTAATTCTCCACATTGTGTAAAAAGGCTGTTTGATCCTATCTTCTCTGATCCTCCCCTTCTTCTACAGTCTCCAATCCATCCGCCGATAGTAGATCCCTAGAAGGCACTCTGCACATGCTCAGTCTGGTGCATATTGCTAGAGAGTTTTTTTTTTTTTTTTTGGAGGGTGTATGTAATCGGCACAGGGCCAATTAGCAGTGTCCAGACAGAGGGTCAGGTGTCATGAAGCCTCATAGGACAACCAGAGGAGAATGAGAACTCCTCCTACAAGCTTTAACCAGTGCTCAGCCAGACACTGATAGAAGTCACAAGACTGCTATATACTGCTGATGAGAAAAGGTATTTACCAGTTTATATTTACTATTTTGTAAATTGCAATTCTATGTTGTTTATACTATGGGAGACTGGACATAGTGAATGCGGGCTCCTGGGTTTAGTAACACTTTAAATCGTTAGTCAAGTCCATCTAAATCTGCTAATGCACCTAACACTACCCTATCCCTAGGTGGACAAAGCTGCTGTTCAAAGTTGTGTCTTTTGGTCTTCTAGGTGGAGACCCCCAAAGGGGGAAATCAAATAGTGGGGTGGGTTTTTAGGGGGGACACCAAAGAGGGCATGTCCTTCAAAACTACAAGCCTAACAGTATCAAGCCTGTGTTCAGTATTGCATGATTAGGATATATTGAATAACCCAAGTACTATATCTGTAGACCATGACTGTCAGTCACCGGCTCTCTGCCCCTTCAACACTTCCTGGAGCACCGAACTGTGAAGGAGTGGGAGGGGCTGGCTCAATTTTTGAGGGGCTTGCTGGAGGGCTGAGCCAGGTGCCTGTTAAGGCTTCTGGGTGGATGCTGACTATAAAGTCAGGAACGATCCATCACCTGGACTGGCTGAGAGAAGTCAGATGACAAAGGGCTTTAGCTCTCTGTCAGCTGCAAACGGGTCCCAGGAACGCAGAACAAACTGAAGTAGGGCCAAACTTCTCCTTTAAGTCTAATGATTTGCCTGCCGCCTCCTAGACTTATCTCTGTTATTCACATCTGACAGGTTTATTGTGCTCCATGAACTGCTCACTGTGGGTCCCAAGAGCAAAGCTACTGGACAAATATGACTGCCCCTCCCCTCCTTCTGCCCATTCATGGAAGCCTTTGTGTTATGTGAGCTCATTCACAAAATCCAAAGGCTTCTGTGAATGGGCAGCAGAGTGGAGGAGCGGTTATAGCTGCTCTGTGTGCGTCTCTCCTCTCTCACACCCTTGCATGTCCTGTGTATCCCCTGGGAGTGCAATAAACCTGTCAGAAATAAGTGATAGAGATAAGTCCCCAAGGTGACATGCACCTAACTTGACTTAATTTATAGTGTGCCTGAGCGTTTTGCAAAGCTGCTTAATTCCTGGAATTCAGCTTTACAGAAACAGATCTGGGGAAATCTCTACAAACACATCTTTCAGTTCATGTAAGCAAGCATGTACAGTAAGAAATATGTAGACAATTAGTGCTGATGTAAACATTTTGGTTACTGCAAGTTATTTCCTGTTAAAATAAGGTGTATGCTCTTCAGCAGCTGAGCAAATGCAAATACAATCAAGGCAGTGCAGTCTGCCAAGACAAATACAACCCATTTAGCTGGGTTGTGATGTCAGATCTCAGCGAGGGGAAGACTGAGAGATCATTCAGACCATGAGGTGACAGAATCTCCAAATCATTAAGTGGGGAAGGTCAAGGATGTCCGGCCATTAATGTTAACGTCATATCGCCTACATAGTTTGATAAATGCAAGTCCATGGAAAATGTTCATTTACATCTAGCCATGATTACTAAAAAAGTACTCTGCATTTAGTGATATTTTGTTTCATATTACTGTTAAAAAGCACCAATGCACATAAAAAATTACTTCGCTATGGGGGTGCACTTCTAAGAAAAATTTGCAGAGCTGTTCGTCCTGTGAAAATGTGTATGAATTCGGTCTGTGCGAATGCTGGTAAAATAAAATATTGGTAGGTGATTTTCTCTCCAGGTCAGATGTTCTTCCTTCAAAAGGGTATTATTAATCCGCAAAATACTGCACTACTAGATTAAGCTACTGACGATAATAAATAAGTATTGGTTTCCTATGATCACGCTACATGGTACACTTATAAATGAAATGTATCTAACCTGCAGAGAAAATAGCCTAGTAACATTGGATTTTTATCATCATTAGCACAGCAACTCAGCCACAAAGTGGTAGGCCACGTAACATGACAGAGCAGGGTCAGCGCATGCTGAAGCGCACAGTGCGCAGAAGTCAACAACTGTCTGCAGAGTCAATAGCTAGAGACCTCTAAACTTAGTGTGACCTTCAGATTAGCACAACAGTGCGTAGAGAGCTTCATGGAATGGTAAGGATAGGTAGCTGTGCATGTTTATTTTCAACCACTTGCCGCCCACTCACAGTAGTTTTACTGCAGGCGGACAGCAGTGCGATCCTGTGGAGCACAACCCATCACAGCAGCCGGGATATCATGGGATTACTATGACTAATCATATGATCACATGATTTTATATAAACTATCATGAATGGATTGCCATTCAGGACAGCTTGCTTGTTGTTGACATGCTCTGATTGGCCCACAGCTATCACATGGTACCTGGCTATGGAACCTGAATGGAAAGCCATTCATGACAGCTAAAACTATTGCATATAGCAGTAATCATCACTAATAGCAAACTTTAAGCAATAACAGAGTACAAAAAAAATCCTTGATCAAACCCCCCCAAAGTAGTATTATATTCTATTGTGACTAATTATTCTGATGAAATTATGTTACAAAATAAAAAGAAAAAAAAGGTAAAAAAAAAAAAGAACCAAATGTTTAAAAAAAATAATTTTTGTTTTCTTTTCACATACTGTCACCAGTCAGCATCCCTGATCACTGCCACATCAGTCACATGATGACTCTAGTACTGCACTGGTGATAGCATGAAAAAAAATGTGAAAAACAAAAACCATACTAATTTTATCTGTCATTTTCCAAAAAATTGTGACAAAAAAAATTACAACTTCAAAAACTCGCCATGCCTCTTACTAAATACCTTGGGACTGTCTGCTATCCAAAAAGGGATCATTTGTGGGATATTTGTAGTGACCTGGAATTTTTACGGTCGTAAGAAATGAGATAGGCCATCAGCACATCAAGATTGATCTATTCTCAAATACACTATACTGCCAAATCATTGGATTCAGGTGTTCCAATCACCTCCATGGCCACAGGTGTATAAAATCAAGCACCTAGGCAAGCAGACCGCTTCTACAAACATTTGTGAAAGAATGGGTCGCTCTCAGGAGCTCAGTGAATTCAAGTGTAGTAATGTGATAGGTTGCCACCTGTTCGTTAAGTCCATCCATGAAATTTTCCTGACTACTAAAATATTCCACGGTCAACTGTTAGGTGGTATAACAAAGTGGAAGCAACTGGGAACAACAGCAACTCAGCCACGAAGTGGTAGTCCATGTAAAATGACAGAGAAGGGTCAGCGCATGCTGAAAGTTCTCTCTGCACAGTGTGCAGAAGTCACACTCGGCCACACCAACAACTGTCTGCAGAGGCAATAGCTAAAGACCTCCAAACTTGGATTGTGGCCTTCAGATTTGCACAACAACAAGTGCATAGAGACCTTCTCCATGGAATGGGGTTTCCATTGCCGAGAGGCTGCATCCAAGCCTTACATCACCAAGTGCAATGCAAAGCGCTGGATGCTGTGGTGTAAAGCACGCCACCACTGGACTCTAGAGCAGTGGAGACGTGTTCTCTGGAGTGACCAATCATGCTTCTTTGTCTGGCAATCCGATGGACATGTCCTGGGTCTCTTTGGCAACTTGCTAGGAGAATGGAACTTTGCTGACTACATTGTGCCAAGTGTAAAGTTTGCTGGAGGGGGAATTATGGTGTGGGGTTGTTTTTTCAGGAGCTGGCCTCACGAAACACATCACACACACCCTTAGTTTCCAGTGAAGGAAACTCTTAAGGCGTCAGCATATCATGACATGTTTGAACAATATCATGCTTCCAACTTTGTTGGGAACAGTTTGGAGATGGCCCCTTCCTGTTCCAACATGACTGCGCACCAGTGCACAAAGCAAGGTCCATAAAGACATGGGTGTGAGCGAGTTTGGGGTGGAGACTTGACTGGCCTGCACAGAGTCTGACCTCAGCCCCATAAAACACCTTTGGGATGAATTAGGGCGGAGACTGCGAGCTAGGCCTTCTCATCCGACATCAGTCCTGACCTCACAAATGCGCTTCTGGAAGAATGGTCCAACCTTCCCATAGACACCCTCCTAAACCTTGTGGGCAGCTTCCCAGAAGAATTGAAGCTGTTATAGCTGCAAAGGGCGGGCCAGCTCAATATTGAACCGTACGGACTAAGACTGGATGTCATTAAAGTTCATGTGCGTGTAAAGGCAGGGACTCCCAATACTTTTTGGCAATATAGTGTATATACCTCATAGTTTGTAGACTCTATATAACTTTACACAGACTAAATAATAAACACTGATTTTGATATTTTTACCCAGGATGGATTTGATTTAAATCATTAGTGAAAAGGCTCAATTTAAATCATAATTTTTAAAGAGCAACTGTCATCTCTGTAAATTTGATAAAAAATAAAAAACAAATCAGATTTAAATAAAAAAAATTAATAAAAAATCCGATTTTTTTTTTACTTTTTTTAAAAAAATTTTAGCCACCATGTTTTTTACCAAAGAAAGAAGTGGAATACATGCTGGCCTAAATATATGAAGAAAGATTTGTTTGCAAATTTTATTTTCAGCATTTTTTTTTGTTTATATAGCAAAAATGAAAAAACCTAGTGGTGATTACCACCAAAAGAAAGCTATATGTATGTGAAAAAAACTGGTCCTTGATTTTAGAAAGGTTGGAGACCCCTGGAGTAAAGGATTCAGCACAAAGATACAGAAATAAACACAATTGTTTCCCACTTAGTAAGAACAATCAGTAATGTCAGTATTTAGTAAATCAGTAATGTCAGTATAAGTAAGAACATCAGTAATATCAGTATAATAGTAAGAACATCAGTAATGTCAGTATATAGTAAGAACATCAGTAATGTCAGTATATAGTAAGAACATCAGTAATGTCAGTATATAGTAAGAACATCAGTAATGTCAGTATATAGTAAGAACATCAGTAATGTCAGGAATAGTAAAACATCAGTAATGTCAGTATATAGTAAGAACATCAGTAATGTCAGTATATAGTAAGAACATCAGTAATGTCAGGATATAGTAAGAACATCAGTAATGTCAGGATATAGTAAGAACATCAGTAATGTCAGTATATATCAACTCACCTTTGCAAACACCATTTCATCTAACACTTCCGGGGCCATATAACACAGATCGGTGTCACTCTTGGATTCCCTTTTCATGGTTTGAGGTTCTGAATGTTCTGTATCCAGTCCATCTTCCAGAAACTGCTGGCAAGCTAAAATTAAACAAGAATAATCCCATCTTACTTGAACATCACACTAAAGCTTGCATAGAAAATTGTAATATGTTAATCTATTACATAAAAACCAATAATGCTACTAATAAATTCTATTTCCAGAGGTTTTTCCAGGGTTTTTTTAGCTTACAAAATGCTAGTGTGCATGGAGCGTAAGCTGAAAAGATGATGCATTCCTGACAGCCCATGTACTAAATGAGGATGGAAAGCGACCTCAGCACGGCCATGGTCACTGATACTTCTCGCCCTGCCAATGGGGCTTGGTTGTAGAGGTGGGATTGTGGAGCAAGAGCTGGATTCAGAAGCGCAGCATCTTTGCATCTATTACTACACAGTGGGCTTGGATGAGCACTACAGACTCTGGCACCCGGATTCAGTGGATCAAAGGAGAAGAACAATCTGAGATAGAAGCGGCGCTTGTTGTAATCTAATGTTGCATACCCTGATCAATTAAAGTCAACAGGATTTTGCTGACCTGTGTTTGACGAGCGGTAAAAGCGAACATCAAACGAAGAAAAACCACCTTTGCATAGACATGAGCCCCAATACACATATAATCAGCTTTTGTTGCTCCTGAGATACATTGACTTCTGCTAAAGTGTACCTGTCACTAAGGCACTATAAAAGTAGCCACTTTGTAGGTAGCCTACACCAAGCTATCCATTCAGGTTAAAGAATATTAAAGGCTAAAGTTTTTTTTTTTTTAAAGTTTTGGATGGAGTGGAGATGGATTAGAACACCTGTGAGATTTTTATTGCCGTCTGTGCCCCCGTTATAGAGATTCATCCTCTCTATTTGTCCTGTTTACCGCCATCACCATGAGTGAGTAAAAAAAAAAAAAAAAAATCATCACATTTTGAGTTGTCATGTGAACAGGAATAAAAGGAAAATCTTCCATTGGGGACACTTGTTCTGGTGACAATCAACCAGAGATTCCCTCACTTTGGAGGATTTCCTTTCCTGTTTTTGGGTATAGGACAGGAAATGAAGGGAAATCTCCCCAATAAGACAAGTGCCGAAAATATAACCCTCCCTTACTCTGTCCGAAAAAAAAAAAAAAAAAAAAAAAACTTGTGCCTTTAGTGCTACACCAATAGGCACCTTTTTGCCTTTACAGTAGTCCTGAACTAGATGGACTTGTGCCTTTTTTCAACCTGGCCAAGGTTTGGTTCACACTTACATGTGCAAAAAACACACAAGGTGGTGCAAACTCTGTGTGCATTATCACCAAACTATTTAGTGGATCCCCAAAGACCAATGGATACTCACACATGTATAAAAAAAACACATCAGACATAAAATATGGATACTTCAACCATGGCCAGTGTACCCTCGTCAATGGAGCGCCCTTATTCAGAACTGAACCCACCAGGTACCATGTCACCATTTAAATTGTCACGGATCAAAGGCAGCCCTCCTCCCATCCAGCGAACCAGTGGGTGGGGCCTGATGGTAAGTACCCCTCTTAGCTAAAGTGCGGTTCTATCTATTTCCTGATCCTGCCAATCTCCACACTGTCCACAGATCACAGTTCTGGTACATAAATGATTAGCAAATAAAAAAATGAAATTTAAAAAACTAGCCAATACATACACCATAGCCGAATGTCCACTCAGCTCACCAACTGCACAAATATCAGAGCACATATGCAGGAGAGTGTGGATCACATTTATGGGTGTGGCCAAATACAGGTGCGTTTCTGCACATTGTAAAAAAGTAAAGGTAAAAAAACCTGTGCTGCGGGATCCACCCAAAACCCCTAGTCTACCCCCCCCCCTCATTCCTTCCCAAGTCCGATCAATCGTTTTGCATGTCTGTGTCTGCCGAGGGTGTGTCTCCCTCCTAACTGGGCAGATTGATAGCAGTGGGAGCCATTGCCTCCCACTTCTGTCAACCAAGTGCGGGGCAGGGTTGAGTCGCCCGTTCAGTGTCAATAGATGCAGACAGGGTAGCTCTGGTGCGAGCCCATATAAGTGCCCCCATGGAAAGTGATTTCCATGGGGGAACTCACGAAAGAGGAGGAGCCTGGAGCACCGATAGGGGACCCCAGAAGTGGAGGATCGAGAACACTCTTTGCAAAACCACTGCACAAGAGCAGGTAAGTATAACAGGTTTGTTACTTTAATTTAAAAAAAAAAAAAAGTTTGTTACTATGTAACATTCACAAGATTTTCTGACCTGTGAAGCTTGACATTTACCTGGCAGCCATTTTCCAAAACCTTTATACTTGCTGACTCAAGCTTAGGACGTGCTATAATATGTGAAATATGGCTCCCACCACTGGTGATGTTTATCTTTGTTCAACTGTTTTCTGTGGGGTCTTTTTCCAGCACACAGCCAGATGCTGGCATATTAACAGACAAGTCTTTCTGGTAACAGGCAGAAAAACTGACTGTAAATAATCAGTTGACACTCCCATGGAAAATTCACATGGAGCCTCCAGAATCGTCATGATAATAATGAGCCATACAGTAAATGGAGTCCAGAGATAGGGGCAGGAAGAGGCCTCTGTGTGAGGATAAATGCTAACAATGGCTTCACCACAAAAAGGATTTAGAAAAGAAAAGTAACTCAGCGTTCAAAAGTCACTAGAAATATCACCAACATTACCAAAGCGAAGAAAGCCTCATACATGAGGTCATCAGATTTCTGTAAATTGCTGCTCTAGGTGTTACTCTCCATTCCCGTGAATATTTTATGGCCCACAAAGTGATTGCAATTTATCAAGAGAATCATCCAAACTCTGACAAGAACTAAGTCTTCAAAACCTATTTCTATTATTAAAAAGTCATCCTGTGCTTTTGCCCACGTGACCAAGATAAAAAGCTTTATTTCCAGTGATATTACAACGGAGTTCCAGCCATTTATGTGTTTATTAAAGTCAGCAGCCACAAAACCTGTATCTGCTGACTTTTAATAAACACACAATTACCTGTTCCAGAGTCCAACAATGTTCTCACCTGCATCGTCCCTTCTCCTCCCCACAGCGCCGACATCTCAACTGTGGGCACCAGGCTGTGACAGCTTGCAGCTTCACAGCCTGGTGTCCACTGTGCATGCGCGAGTTATCCTGCGCCTCCTGATTGGTCCGGCAGTCTTCTGGGACATGTGAAAGTTCCCTGGAGACTGTGGAAGGAAGGAGGGGGCTGAACTTTTGGCTCGCTTCACCGCAGCAAACTGAGCCGGAATTCGGGAGCGGGTACTTGTCAAAAACAGGTATCCGATCCCCCAAAAGGTGCCAAATATGCCAGGGGGGGGGGGGGGGGGGGGGGAGGTAAATAAGCGGAGCTTCCTCTTTTGAGTGGATATATGATTTAAAGTAGTTCTAAAGGCAGAAGGTTTTTTTACCTTCATGAATTATCTGCAATAAGCCAATGAACAGGTTGGAGACTTCACTGTCCACTTTTAACTCTTTCCTGTGAAGACTAGACGTTCAGGGAAGCAGCACACAGAGCAGATACCAAAAGAATTGACAGTTGTAAACTGCAAATGCTGGGGTAAGAATTTTAACAAACGGTTTCCAGGGTATGTTTATTTTGTTGTACTTAAAGCGGAGCTCCACCCAAAAGGGGAAGTTCAGCTTTAAGCCTTTGTCCCCCGCTCCCCATTAAGGATTGACACCTTGGGGAGTGGGGGGGGGGGGGGGGTACCTGAATTTGACAGGTACCCGTTCCCACTGCGATTGCCTAGATGATCGGAAACGGAAGTCATCCTCCCCCCATAGTTTTCTGGGACATGTGATAGGTTCCAGAAGACTACGGGGCCATTCACAAAGAGCAGCGCTTCTCACGCATGTGCAGTGGGAACCCAGCTGTGAAGCCGCAAGTTGTCACAGCCGGGTGCCCACACTGAATATGCCGGCACCAGTTGGAGAAGATGGTTGGTGAAACCAGCGGTGGTGAGGACACCGCTGGACCAAAGACAGGTACGTAGCTGTATTTTAAAAGTCAGCAGCTACAGTATTTGTAGCTGATGACTTTTATTTATTTATTTTTTTTCCAGGTAGAACGCCGCTTTAATGTGCTCAGTCAAAAAACAAGGGGTTAATATTACACGTAATTTAGAGGATAACTATACTTTTACAGTTATCCTTGTTATGATCACCCTTCAAACCCAAATCTTACACTCACCTGTCCCTGATCCTTTGGGGTCCTTGATGTACAGTCCACTGAGAGCTGAACAACCTCTTCTCCAAAAATCCACCACACTCTCCATTTATTCCTATAGAAACCCATCCTCCAATGGCATGAAATAATTGGCTATTCCATATGAGTACCTGGAGATTTTAGTGCTGATACACAAAAGAAATAGAGCCCAGCTGGTAGGAAACATGACCGGGGTTTTGAGCGGACTCTCTCAACCCTTTTCAACACAGCGGAACCCTTGAAATAACTTTCCAGTCTCAGGGAACCCCTGATAAAAATTACTATATCTACAACTCATGATACATTAGTGTGATGGTCAGTGGGAAGAATGCTCCTTATACTTGGTCATTGGGAAGAATTCCCCCTCTAGAAAGTAACTAAGACAAGCGGTGTCAGTGGGAACTTATCTGACAGGCAAAAATTGCAACCTTTGGAGGAACTCTAGGGTTCCATGGAACTGTGGTTGAGAAATCCCGGTCTACAAGGAGCAGGTAAATGCAAGACTTGGTTAAGGGGGGTTAGTGGTAGTGTTGGAAGGAAGCTACTATAAAGGTTAACACTACTAAAAGTTCAGGGTTACTTTAACACCAGGCATTACATGTATATAGGTCTCGCACAATAAAACTTGCTCTGATATACAGGAGCAATTGAGGCTACATTCAGATCTGTGCGTTCCAAGAACATAGCTGTGGCAATAGGCACTTTTTGCCTCAGTCCTGAACTAGATGGACTTGTGTCTTTTTTAACCCAAGTAACATCCAAAAGATTCTCTGGACTGTGAAACTTGGCATTAAACTGGCAGCCATTTCCCTATACCCTTATACTCGCTTATTCAAGACGTGCTGTAATCTCTAACGAGCAGGGCCCTTTGTTTCCTCTTGTACCAAATTGTTCTGTAACTGTAATGTCTGCCTTCATTTTGTAAAGTGCTGTGCAAACTGTTGGCGCTATATAAATCCTGTATAATAATAACATATGAATTACGGCCTACACAAAGCTCCGGGAACACGCGCATAAATGCACAAACACAGGAGAAATGTGTAAAACCCGCAAGTTGCGCTTGCAGTGCCATTAACGCTTAATGGCACCCCAAACGTGGTTAGTAGACGCACAGTTTTGCATGCTGTAAAGCGAGCAACAAATGTCAAATTAAAAAAAAAAAAAGCGTGAAGCTCTATGCCTTAGACATACAAGGACTTTTCTGGAGAGTTTGTTGCGTGTAAAGCAGCCCAAGCAAGCAAAAAACAAGTGCAAAAAAATGTGAGTTCCTGCTACACTAGGTGTGAATGGGGCCCAAAGGTCAAAGAGTTCTGAATCATTATCAATCCACCGTTATGCTTTTTAACAAGCTGATAACGGTATATGGATGGGGTTACCATTTCAGTAAATCTTGCAGGTCATGATCACAAGACAACTGACAGAGTTTTCTACTTAACAAGGAAAACCCCTTGATGTATCTTCCTGATCTATTGTAGTGAATGCTTTAAAGACCTTTATAATCACAAAACATCACACTTCCACACTTCCCCACAGATCATATACTGTACTTCTTGTTTTCATAAACTTATGTGACTTCATCAATGAATGCGATGCACAAATACAAACCACATAATAACTAGAGGAGAGCTTGTTTCAGCCCGTGTAACCCGTGAACTCACCTTTAGACTCACTTGTCTGCTTTGATTCCAGAAGAACCATGTGTGGACATGGAGTTAGTGAACAGCAGTTTTCTCGATTAATCTGAAAAAAAAGAATTAAACAGTCAGAAAAAAAAACTGTACATCCAGCTGGAGATTTAAAAAAAAAAAAAAAAAAAAAAAAAAAACACACAAAGGCAACAAGATGTATTTTATTAAACTGCGTAAAGATAAAAAAAAATGTTTGTCAGCATTTGTTTTGAGACTTGATTCACATCATGAGAAAAGGACTGTTGCTAATTAAAATACAACATTGGTGGTGAATCCACTATATTAAAGCAGAACTAAAACCCTCCGATCCTTTTCAGCCAAGGAAGTTGCCATCTTAGCCTCTGATCTGCAACTGCCATAGTGCTGCACGTGTGAACAATTATAGCACCAGCCATTTGATGATTTGACAGTTTGGTCGAGAGCAAAAGCAAATGGGACAGTTCGTGCTCCCGGCATAACGGAAATGTAAATTAAAAAAAAAAAAACGTTAAATTGATGGGTTTAGTTTCACTTTAATGGCCACTCCAGACTCCGTTCCTCCTCCCCAGTCTGGGTATGACAGGTGTCAGCCATGAAAGTCCATCCCCATGCTAGTGCACTGCAACATCCATGTAAAAAACAGCTGATCTCATGACTCTTTCAAGAAAGGTTTACTTCTAGTCTGTTATCTGATGATCCACCTTTCACTCCCGGGCTGAGAAATGCACCTGAATATACGCTGTACTGCCCTCTCAGAGCCATGTACAAGAGACCTAGCTGTGCTTCTTAAAGTGGTTCTCCAGTCTCCCCCCAAAAAAAGTTTAAAGTCAGCCGCTTCAAATACTGTTGCTGCCTGTCCAGGGATCCAGCGTTTTTCCTCACCTGAGTAGATTCTTCAATCGGCTTCAGGTCCAGGTGCCAGCATCTTAACTAAGGGAAACTGGAAGTGAAGCCTTGTGGCTTCATAGCTGGTTTACCACTGCGCATGTGCGAGTCGTGCTGCACTTTGCGAATGCTCCCACAGTCTTCTGGGACCTGTGATATGTCCCAGAAGGCTGAGAGGGAAGGAGGGGGCCAAGGCAATTCAATCAGAAGTGGGAGTGGGTATCAGTCAAAACCAGGTACCTACAAGCCCCCCCCCCCCCACCTCAAATGTTAAAGAGGATGGGGAGGGGGGGGGGTAGAAAATGCTCTGGCATTGGTGGGAGTAAACAATGCCATAGGCTTAGTGGTCACTGAGAGCAATCGTTCCCCATGTCAGTGGCAGGAATAATCTCTTGCGGAGGTGAATGGAATAGGGCCCAAGGGTTTGATAAAGGCAAGCAAAGGGCCACTTCTGGCCTGTGGGCCACAGTTTGGAGACCTCTGATCTAGAAGAAAGGAAGAGGAGGGGTTTAATCATCTGAGCACATCCTCCTGTCTGCATGTCTGGGCTGTGCACATATGAATTCAAAATGGTACATGAATTATCTGCCCTTACTCAAGATGGCCGCAACTAGAAATGCTAGGGGGGCCTTCTCAACAAAATAAAGCATGCAGACACGTATGGATGGGCAAGTTTGCTTTGAATATTAAAAATGAATTAAATAGCGCTTTCAGTTTGTGGAGCTCAGGTATACGTAAGTGTTGCTTTAAGACAAAGGCACATACTCCTGGTGCAAAGCAGCAATGGCAACAGTATCCAAAATACTACGACACTACCGTGATCTCAAAAGTAGTTTATGTTTAACCGCTGGCATTACACCTTGCAACCTCTGCACAAAATAAAAGACAAAGCACAAAGAAAAAATAAACATCTCCGGATTAATGAAAGTAATAGCCACTTCTAACTGGATGCCACAGAAATGACAGCGACTTTCCTATGCCTGGAGCATATGGTTTATATGACAGGCTGTTGGCGCTGCAGCAAAGCCCTATATGTTCCATGCCAGGAACACTGCCAGGCTCCCAAAACCGTTACGACTGGAACATTCCCAGACTGCAATTGATTGTCTCAAGATTTGCTAAATTTAGCCGAAGGATGAATCACAGCATTAATGTGAAAACTTTATAGCGGGATATTTCTATAAAACGGGTCTACATCTGATAAAATGAGGTCAAATAATTCTGGTCTTCATTTTTCCAAGGAAAGCTGCCATTATAGCACAGAGCTCCACATACAGCAGGTAGCTGGACATCTCTCCCAGCGTCCAAAAGTAAACATTAACGAGGACGCCAAAAAGAGCAACAAGTTCTACCCGTCACCTGTCCAGATAACAAAGCTGAGGTGTAGGTTGCTAATGAATAACAAGCCAACCACATAACTAAACAGAGCTCCACAAGCGGACTATTATCCCAGCATAAACAACCACGGGTGTGGAGGAACCCGACGCTTCAACACAAATTTCAGCTCTAATGCATATACATGAATTAAAGCTTTAGGTGTACGGTATGATGTCATCTGGGAATAAAATGTGGTGCCTAAAGTGATACTAAACCCACAACAGTAAAATCAGTCTGTATATGCAGCAAAGCATGCTTGTTATACCCACTGTAGAACTTAAAGGGTTAATCCTCTGCATTGTGTAAAAAGGCTGTTTGATCCTGTCTTCTCTGAACCTCCCTTTCTTCTACTGTCCCCAATCCATCTGCTGATAGAACAGAGCTTTGGGTGCAAGCTGCACATGCTCAGTTTGGTGTGTATTGCTAGAGGTTTTTTTTTTTTTTTTTGGGGGGGGGGGATGCATGTGATCAGCACAGGGCCGATCACAACTGTCAAGATGGTCAGGGGTCACACAGCCTCATAGGACAGTCAGAGCAGAAGGAAAACTCCTCCTACAAGCTTTAAGCAGTGTTCTGTCACAAGACTGCTCTAATTGCTGAAGAGAAAAGGTATTTATCGGTTTATATTTACTAAAATAATTGCACTTCCATGTTCTGTGTACTGTGGGAGACCAGATATGATGAATGCAGGGTCCGGGGTTTAGTGACACTTGAAAACAGAACTACACTGCATCTGCACACCACAAACCAAAAACATGATTTAATTCATTTTTAATATTCAAAGCAAAATCCTCCATCCATCCAGGTCTCCATGTTTTATTTTAAGAAATTACTTTAAAAAACCCTCCCCCTAGCACTTCTGGCTGTGGCCGCCTTGAGTTTTGCAGATGATTCCTGGAATCCATCTGGCCTTAGCTCAGGCACAAAAGGCAGGAGAGTGTACTCAGCTGAGAAAACCCCTCCTCCCTTCCAGAAGACTCCTGGGATGTATGAGATCATTTTCTCTGGGATGTAACTGTAGAAACGTATAAGAATAGTTTAAGGCTAGGTTCCCACCTATGCAGTTTGCGTTTGATCCATTTCTGCAGTGCTTTTTGCGGTGCGTTTTGCATTTTTTCTTCAACTTGTTGCTGGGCAGAATAAAATGCAAAATGAATCAAAAACGCATAATGGTACATGGTATAGCAGTCACATATCGGGAGAACGAGCTGTTGGGTTTTCATATTTTTTAATGAACAGTTCTACCAGACACTTATTCTTACTCAATATGTTCCCAGCCATTTTATCAGGCTTTCAGACAAACATTTTCGGTTGCCAAGAGTAAGGTATTACACATTGGTTTAAAGTCTATTTAGACCATGGTATAGAAATGTACAAATAAAATGCCTCTCAGTCAACTTAATATAAAGTTGCATATCAGGTCATAAACAAAACAGATTCTCCATAAGACTGCATTGACATCTGAGTGCTTTGCAGCTTAAATCTACAAAAACATCCAAACGCCAAAAATCAATTGAATATTATGGTACCTGTTTGCACTTGAGAACTCATGCCTGTCGCTTCAGGTCAGACTTTTAAAGAGTTCGATCAAAAAAAAAAAAAAAGCATCTTTACAATGTCATTGAGAAAAAAAGCAAAAAAAAAAAAAAAAAAAAAAAAAAAAAAAAAAACTTTAGCACAGAAATACTTAGAAGAACACAAAATCTTTTTTGAGTTACCTTAATAAGCACCACATCAACAGTTCTGTCGACTTTGGAGATGTCGCACAGGCTGTATCGTCTTTTTGTGCCTCTCGTACATTCTCCTGACTCTCAAAGAAAGTGTTCAGAGAAAGTCCAGACAGTCCAAACTGAAGACTACACATGTGAGAAGAGACTGTTGCTCCAAGCACTCCTACCTCCCGAAAGTCAAGAGCCACAACATCACTGCTTTCCCCGACAGGAAAAACATTTCCACCACTGGACTGGAGCAAGCATTTTCTCTCCACTGAGATAACAAGCAATGCACAACTGAAAAAACAAGGCAAATAAACTACGGCAGCTCTGAAGACAAACACCTCCGTTCCACCAACGTACAAACAAACTCTAGAATTGCCGTAAACCCCAACGAAAGAAGAGAACACAAGTTATTGTCTAGACGTGACTTCAACATCTCACTCGTAGGCATGCAAAGAAACGAAGAGGAAAATCCACTGAAGGCGTTTTTTTCACATCCAGGGTAAGACCTGTTTTAAGAAGTGAAATCTGAGACAACTGCTGCAGAAGCCTTCTAAAAGCTTTACCATATTCCAGCCGAAAAAGAGAGCCCCCTTTTTTTTATTCAAATGTGCATTATTTCCAATCACATCTCACAAGAAGAGAAGAAAAGCCACTCCTTTGTGGACGTCATCGTTTCGTCTTTTCCACTCTGCCCTGAGGTTCATTAAGATCTGAATCATATTTCCATAACAGACATTACAGATAATCACTTGTGAGCACCAAGAAGGGAAGAAAAGAACCGCTGCAACCAATGGTAGACTCCAAAGTGTTTGTGATCCTTTGCAATGTCTTCTGTACTCTGAAAAACAGTCTAAATGTATCTTTCTGACATAAAACTGAAATAAAAAATTCCCACAAAAGCCAAAGAAGAAGTGAGCAGCCAGCTTCCCTATACGGGGAAACAATGATTCACATGCATGAAAGAGGAAATCTACAAGTCTTCCTGAACACGAGAGCAGACGAGCCTCGAACTAGCAGAAGAAACATTTTTACAAAAAGGAACAGAGGACCTGTGTATTTCTCGCTGTCATTTTCGTGACAGGACTCTACCAGTCTAATTTGCTTCTGTCAATGCTCTCATTCACATCAGCTGGGGCCCATGAAGTGACCCTGCCACATGGTTTCCTGTATTCTGACTGTTCCACCCTTTCCTCCCCCTCCCTGCAGCATCCACACTCCCTGTATCCCCTCTCATGGGAGACAGAGCTTTCCGTAGAGCTTTTAGCCACTGTTCTTCCATCTAAGCGGAGACCTTGGAATGGAAAGAGGAGGGGAGGGGGGTGCACACGCACATACAGTGGTAAGGTAAAGAAAACAGAGGATTCCCCAGCCAACCCTCGGGTTTAGGATTACAAAGCAAGCAGGATTTTCTTTTTTTTCATACAGTAAATACATACATTGCATTTAAAAAAAATGTACATACATGCAACAGCTAGTGTTCTTAAATGGATAAAGAAGTATAAAGCCATCTATAAAAAAAACAACTTACAGATGTTTATAAAAGAAAGTGTAGGGCTAAAACCACACAGGGGTATTGTGAACTATTCTTAGTTTCCGAGCTGCGTGTTATGTCTCTAAACTGTGTACTTTTACTATAGCAGCCTTCATTAAATGGCAGACCATGGTCTGGACACGGACCGAGTGACACTCCAGTCTGGATCTTCAGCCCGCCAGTCTGCAGCCAGATCCCCACTGCATAGCAGTCGTTAGCTGCTAGGACCACCAACTTCCTAGCAACCAATGACATCCCATGTGTGCCATGCTCCCTGCAGCAAGCTTCTTTGCCCAGCTTCTGACCCCTGCATTATGCTTCTTCTCCCAGCTCCCACCCCTTGCCTTCCTGGTAGAAGGGACATATGCGTCATGTACACTGTTAACTGATGGATTCTACCAACCTATAGGTGCACGCTTGATGGGTCACAACTGATGCATATGAATACTCTGAATTGCATACCTGATGTAAAGCGGTATTTTGATGGGCACAGAAGTCCTCAAAACGCGTCAGCCTTTTGGATGTCTATACTCCCTATTGCGGACTGTTACTCAGCGCGGTGTTGACCCAGCTGTTCTTTATGATGTGCCTTGACTATATTGTCGTTTGTGAGTACAACACATACTTTATTTTTTATTAAACATTTTTTATGGTAATGCACTAGGCCTGTGCGCCCTCTGTTTTTTCTTTCCTCCTTTTGATGGGCACACCTGATTTAAAGGGGCACTTTGATGGGGCACCTAATGTAAGGGGGCACTCCGATAGCACAAACTTTGGACTCAAAGAATTTTGGCAACTGGACCTCCTTAAATTTATATTCAATACCCCTGTACTATAGCATGAGTGAGCGATTGAAAGTTGTCACCCCCAAAAAAACCTACAAAAGTCTCTATTATTGCTTGTGATCTCCCTTCCTGCGTTTTCAGTGTGTTCTCGCATGTCGAAGGTAGGGCAGCCTATTTATTTTTAAAAAAAGCTATGACACCATACAGTTTTGTGCATGTAGGCTGGCGGGGGTAGATATTTCTGGGGAAGTGTGAACAAGTTTTAACTAGCCAACTATTGCCATGGTCTCTGTAGAGGTGGTCTTCAGGTCTATGAAGTAGGGGTAACCACATGTCCGGCACCAAAATGTAGGCTGCTGTGTGCGTGTTTAAGGGGGGGGTTGAATCATGTGGGTAGAGATGTAAGTGGACTTTCCTCCATGTTCCGATCATTGAGTGCCAAGTTGTGGGGTCACACAAGAGGACTAACCCCACCCTCCCAGAGTGGGTCACTTGCTATGCTCATGGGGTACCTTTACTGTGTCATGCTCATCATGAAATAACTTTGGCATTACAATCAACCAAAGGCAACAGTCTATAACGTAGGCTTGGCTGTCCCAGTGTTCCTGTACAGGTGAAGTACATGACAAGGAAAGACCATTGTAGTGGATCTCCAGAACTGGAGTCTTCAGGGCGGTCTACAGGTTCCAGCAGTTCCCCTACATGTTGACGTGATACAAACACAGGCCTCGACAATAAGTCAGGTGACTGCAGCTGCGGGTCCAAGCCCCTCCAATCCCTTTGACCTTGGGATCCGGACCCCAGTCCCTTTTAGATGCCGCAGGATCAGGAAGCCAGAACCAAAAAGCCAGCCCGGGCAGTGCAGCACAACAATTACCTCCCTCCCAGCCGGGACAGCAAACTGGCTAAAACTAACGGTAGGCACTTGCCTACATGCGCATTAGCAGATGTCTGGAGATGACATTAACAATTAATGGCACTGCCATGCGTCTGCTGAAGGACAGACTTTCTGTGCCTGTCAGGAAGGGATGCAATTTTGCATGCGATCCTGAAACACAAATTTGTAAAACACGATGTTAAATTTTACTCAAAAAGTTTACTCATAAAAAAATGAAACAAACAAAATCAGCACAAGGGACATTGCTCACCACTGATGTAACGTGTCTCTTTTGCTATTATCTCATCCTTTAGTTGAACTGCTCTTCCTCCAACCCTCCACAATTTTCTGATGTGGCAGGAATTAATGGAGCCAATGGATCTGTCACGGGCTCTCATTAAAAGTGCCTGTCTACACCCACCCTTTCTGCCCCTCTCCTCCATTCAAAAACGCCATCACAACAGCTTCTATAAATGAAATATGCTCTATGACTGGAGGAGGCAGACCTTCAATCATACGCCTGTCCTCCATTCACAGATCACGTTTCACTCATAGAAGCTATAGTAACGGCTTTTATGAATGGAGGAGCTGGGTGGAAAGGCTGGCATAGTCAGGCACTCTTCACGAGAGCTTGTCACAGCTCTGTCGGCTCCAATAACCCACCATGAAAGGAAGATTATAGCAGGGGCAGATCTGCCTATAGTTCCACTTTAAGCGCTATGGATGGAGACCAATTACTCTCTAAAGGAAGAATGGCTGCCTGTGGTGTAATCTATAGAACAACTTGTGCTCGATCTTAAAGTAATATTAAAAGGCAATTAAAAAACCCCCCAAACATGTTAAAACGTACCTGCGATCCTCCTCTTCTCGGGTCCCCCACCAGTGCTCCTGGTTCCTCCCTCCTGCCGAGTGCCCTCAGAGCAAGATGTTTGCTATGGGTGCTCCTGAGCCGCTGCTTTGCATGTCTATTTACACACAGAGCTGTGGCTTGACCCCCACCCCCTCTCTCTCCTCATTGGCTCACTGGCTGTGATTGTCTCAGCTAATTAATGTATTAAGGTAATATACAGAAAGGTGCAGCGCTAAAATAGTAATGGCAATAATAATGATAAATCAGTAAAATCAATATATAAATTGTATCCAATATGAATAAATGAAATATGGATTATGGATAAAAATATGGGTAAAATAGTTCCAATGGTATATAAAACAGTAAAAATGGACTCTTGTGCTCTGGTAACTCTGGACCCGGCGTCAGTGCAATATTGATGTAAGTAATGCGCACTCACCGCACGCGCATGTATAATGAGCCTTATGTTAATAATCCAGATATCATCAGAAGGAGGGGGTCAGGAACTGGACCCCCCTCTGAAGACATGCTTGAGCACGATACGTGTCAGGAGGAGCCATATCACGCAGTGACGTCACGCCGCCGGAGCAACGTGGAGCTCCGACGGCCATCTTTTAAAACCGGACGGTTAGTCTGTGTATACTGCATGCTATTTTTATACCTTTGATGCATCTGATCATATCGTCCTAATAAAATTTATCCATACAAAAAACTTCATCAAAAGTGGAGTTGCTCTTTAAATTCTGGTTGTTCTGTAGGTTATTTTTATATCTTTATACAATAACCACCTCCAACTATTGAGACTCCCCCACAACACAAATCAACACCCTTCCCTAAAGGTATACAAAATTATATCAGTGAAAATGTGTTTTTATATAATTTATCCAAAATATAAAATAAAATATAACTCGTGAATTCAATCCCTAAATATATATCATCCAATATTCATCTTAATCCCTCAATGTCTTTATGAAAAAAATAAATAGTCCACTCCAAAATTAAAGTCCAAAACAAAAATCCACTCAAAAAAGA